TGAGCCGGTGAGATTTGAACAGCCGAACTGCAGAACTGCAGTCAGCTGAAGTAGCCTGCAGTACTGCACCCTAACCACTGCGCCACCTCGGCTCCTAATTCAAGAATTATGGATAAATACCAATACCAATACCAAGAATTATGGATAAATGCAGTGGGACAATAGGTACTAGCAATGAAATTATATTGTAAGTACACCAATTCTTAATTCCTAATCATAGGGCAGAATGAATTTGACCGTATGTGTACCCTAAAAACACCTGCAACACCAACAGGTTTCAAAGCTGTTATATATTGGACACTGCAGGAGAGAAAAACACAAGCACATAAATGTATGTCATAAATGTGCCTTTAGCACAATGCAAACGTATATCTAACCCACGGGAACCCACTTAACTGAAAGAATTCATTCTCATTTCATTGCAAAAAAAAATTACTTAGCTGGGGTGCAATTTTTCAAAGAATACCAGAAATTGTTTCTTCAGACATTATACTTTCAATATCATTGTGATCTGGAATACTCTTCTCCAAAATCCGCAAGTTAAAAATTCTCTTAAAATGTAATTTTGCGTGGCATATACTTACAGCGTGCCACACATTTGACAGGTTAGGAAAAAAAGGAATAGCTGGAAATCCTGAGGAGGTTCACAATATCGTTGTATGTATTCCTAGGTTAAGCTAGTGAGAAATGGTTTTGCAACAACCAGTCGCATTCCTGCATAACTAGGTCATCCGTGAAGTTCACACATAAAAACTGGGTTGCAAAAATCCAGATAAGCACAAGGTGACAGCAATGAGTTACCCATTCCCTAGATCTTTTTTCCTGTCATTTAATGGTTTCCTGGAATTTGGAGCCAGGTTCGATATTTTAGTATTAGATGGCTGCATAATGCAAATGCTTAACCCAGTGAATCCTGGTGTCTGTTTCGGAGTGAATGCCATGTGAATGCCATGAATTGCTCAAAAGGAAGATAACAGCCTCGCTCTCCCACACCTACTTAGTCTTCTGAGAAAAGAAGATGGGAAGAAGCTGGGGGGGGGGGGTTGGGACAGGCTGCTGAAAAAGCCAAGTTTGCACTATCTGAGTCCTGATAGCACTGAATTCATCTCTCTGCTGATATTCCCTGCAGGCTGCTTAAGGATATTTCTGCAAGCAATTGCACCAGCAACATGCTCAATTGATCAAAAATTCTCAGCGGAGCCTATTGCATCTAAGCTCATAAAATTTTTAAATATCTCCCTCATATCCCATGTATAAACAAACAATATTCAGACCGCAGATGTGTCTTGGGAAGACACAAAACAGCGCCAGGTATCTTTCTGTGACTTTATGTCAGCTCATGCAGCTTATCAGGGAAAGGAAGCTTCTCTCTATCCTTGACGGAGTCCACAATCAAAATGCATGTTTTGGATGAAGTTTGCATCTTGTGTCATGTGGACTAGTAGCACCACCACTCCTTTTGTTCTCCTCTATATGCTCTGCTGCTTGCCTACCCAATAGGAAGGTTGTTAATCCC